AAAAAAAAAAAAAAAAAAAAAAGAAGAAACAAACTAAATTGTTCCAATAGTGTGTGGACATTTTTTTACTTTGAACTAAATCCCTTAATTTTTCCTTTTCCAGACTGAGGAAATCACTCCATTTGATTCCTTCAGTCGTGGGGGATGGTGGGTGGGTGACGGCCATATCACAGCGGGGAAGCAGGAGCAGCCCCACCAGCATGAGCACCCACTTCGGCCCCTGAATCCAGGCTCTCCAATCGTCTAGGGCATCCACGTCAGCGCTGCAAGATGGGGAACCTGATTTTCCACTGGTAAGTGCTGCTGCTTCTTTTTGTGTGTGTGTTTGTTTTTGGTGATGCCTGACAATAATTCATAGTGGCAGGGACTGCCTTTTTTAGGCATCAACAGAAAAATGAAGCCACATTTAAAAAATGAATTCTGATGTTTCACGGATCCTAGGCTAGATGCACATTCAAGCCATCTTCCTGGAGAAAGTGGAGGTTCCATCATTTCTGGCAAGAATCAACCTCAGAGAGGTACAGCGGGACTCCGGGAAGACTGACTGCAAAGCAGTAGTCTGGGACAGAAGCTGTTTCTCTGGGGTTCAGATGCTGGGTCTGGATGGGACCACCCCTCTCCCCAGGGACCCAGCAACTGGCCCACCGCAGGAGGAAATCCCAGCACCTAGCACAGTGACCGAGACATAACAGGTGATCTGTAAGTGTTTGCCTGGAGGACTGACCGATCCTCTAACCTGGGAAACGTGTGTCACAGGCCACCAACCCCCATATTGTCCATACACGTTGTGGGCCAGGTGGCCGGTGAGGTCCTCTCTAGCTGGGTGTGTGTACTCAAAATTCGACCCTTGCCAACTTCAGTCCAGTGGTTCCCAGCCTTGGCTGCACCTGAGAATCACATGGGGAGTTTTAAACATCCCGATGCCCAGGTCTCAGCTCCTACCAATTAAACCAGAAGATCTAGGAGTGGAAGTCAGTCATCGGTATTTTTTTAAAGATTCCTAGATCACTCCAGGGTGTCACAAAGTATGGGCATGCTGTGCCCCCAGGGCGGACTGGTAGGAGGAGATGGAAGTGGCCTTCAGGAAAGAAGGCTTTAGCCCCCACTTTACCACTCGTGAGCACTGAAGCTTCCGGCACTAACTCACCTCCTTTTTGAATCTGCTGAATGGAAGGGACAAAACTAGATAATTATTTCCCAAACTACCGTGCAGCAAAACCCTACCCCTCCAAAATACGGATCCACGGCATTTAAGAATTTTCAGTGGGTTTTTCTTTCAGGATTTCTCGTGGCCTTTACAATGCTAATATGTGTAGCAAATCTCCAAAAGGGTGATAAAGTGTGCAGTATTTCCCAAATTTATTTGACCGGGGGACACGTTTTCCAAGGAGAACCTATTAACATTTCCCAGAACGGGTGCTGCTCAGAACATTCTTGGGGAAATGATGGACTAATGGATGTTTAAGACCCTTTCTGGCTCTCATCGTATTTGAATAATTTTAGTTTTCGTATTCCTCCATCCTCCTGTGGGAGTTGCAGACTGGTAAATAATTGGCGGGGGATGGAAAAGTCTGCTTACTCAGCAGCACTATCTAAGTACGGACCCAAGCCCCCCCACGTCTGGGATTGTTGCTCAGTCAGTGCAGCACCTCTGCTATGTTGCTTAAAGTGCTGGCTGCCTGTGTTCTTTCCATCGGGATGCTCTTTTTGATGGGTTAAGTTTAAAAACTTACGTGGAGGAGAGACTCTTGATGATTAGGCAAATGACATATGGCTGCAACTTGGAAGAGCGCTCATTTGGGGCCAGGATGAATCTCAGCCTTGCCACCCGACCCTTCCACCTTTCCATGGCACTTCCCCACCAGGCCTGGTTCTATACAGAAGTGGAGCTCTGGGGGTGAGGCCAGAGATCGAGACTGGTACCATGAGCCACAGCACGGAAGGACCCTGGTCCTTCCCACCCACAGGCGGCAAGGAGGCTGTTCCCCTCACTTACTCTGATGTCATCTGGGTGACCAGCTGGAGGGAGGTGAAGCCGGCGGTGAGGAAGCTGTCCCTATACTGGACCATTTTGATGGCACTGAGCCAGTCATCCACGGTGGTAAAGGCCGTGAAGTCTGGAATGGAGCGGTCTAGCAGGGGCTGGGAAGGCCTGTGAGAGAGAGAGAGAGAGAGGAGCAGGTGAGCCCACAGCTGCTGAGGTGTGTGGACAGAGCCACACTCTGGGTGGACAGCAGACTTCACGCAGGATGAAGATTCCTTCCTGACAGGATGCGGATTACACGGGAGCCCTGCCCTGACCCTTCTTTCCATAAAGAATTCTGGAGGCGAGGTGGCCAGTACCCCTGCCTATGGGCTCTGTCACACATCACCCGGCCCAGACAGGGAGACTGATGCAGCATGCAGTCTGGAGGGAAGAGAAGGCCCGTATCTCCTCGGTAAACTGGAATCGAAGAGCTTCACCATCCAAAGATACGGTTCTTTTAAAAATATATAAAGTTCACTATAACCTTCCCAAATCTATTGGTAACATTTTTTTTTCCTGGTTCTATCCTCAGCTAATTGAAATAAATGAAAAAGATCAGCCCTCCACTGACCTTCTCTGGCACATTCTCAAAGCAGACACCTTGCTACCCAACCCACAAAGTGGGGTGCCACCTTGACGTATCCCTCAACCCTCAACACCCATGCCCAGTCTTTCACCAAGAATTAAAGATTTGACCTCCAAAATCTCTTAAATTCATCCACCTCTTTCTGCACCATTACTCTGACTTAAGACCCTATCTTCTCTGTCATTATTGCTGCAATATTCTCCTGCCTGTCTTCTTCAAGCATGTTCCTTCCCCTCGACACAAGGTCCACACTCTACCCTGGTGTTCTTTGAAAAATGCAGGTGTATCATGTGCATAAAACCCCAGTTCATGTCAAACCCTTCAATGGGTGCTCGCTGCTCTGAAAATCAAGCCCAGAAGTCTTAGCTGGGCCTATAGGCTCTGAGCGTCTGGCCCTTGCCCACCTTGCCTGCCTCACCCCTGACCCAGTCCCCTCACAGACTGGACTCTGAACACACTGGCCCTGTCCTTCCCACCCTCGAGGCTCTGCATATGCTGTTCCTAGGCCTGGAACACCGGTCCTTCTCCTCCTATCCTCCTTTCCTTCAGTTCATGCATTCTCTCCCTTCAGCGCTCAACTGGAAAGAACACTCATCAGGGATGCATCCCTGATACCAGGTAAGGTATGTATCCATGTTCTCCAGCACCACACACCTCCCTGCCATAATAGCAATCAAGGTCTCAAGTTTGCATTTCTTTGGGTGATCATCTGGGTTTGCCCCTCCTAAATGATTCTAAGTTCCATGAAGGCCAGAATCATGTCTATCTCGTTCATTCTATACTGTCAGCAATGGGCACAGTGCTTAGCATAAGTACCCAATAAACTTTGGTTGAAAAGATCAATTAGTCAGTCAGCTAATACTGCAATGTAGAGAGTAATGTACAGCTGACAGTTGCTGACAGGAGCCCAAAGTTGTTCTGTGCATTTGCTCATAACAAATCCAATGGCTTTGTATGTCTGTGTCCCACAGCAATCAGGGCTTTTACCTGCTAATAGGTGGGTCAAGGTTCCAAGTCTGCAGCTCTACCTGGTGTGGTTAACATAAAGGGTGCCTTCTGGAAACAAGATCTCCCAGAGGTGGGGCTCATTACCACGCCCATCACATACACTCAATTATTACAGAGCCCAGCGTCCAGCCTATCTGAAGCCAGCAGAAGGTGGAGACCCAGACGGGTATCTTGGTATCTGTCCATAGCCCATGCTGGAAGTGGGGAATATTTTAGAGAGGTGGAAAAGAAAAAGGAAAGGAGAAATCTTGGCATTTCTTCCATTAGTGGATAAGCTTAGCCACCTCACTCTTGCTGTCAATAGATCAAAAGGCTAGCAGCCTTGCTATTGGGCCTGCCCATGGCTATGAGACCACCCACACCTAGGAAGCACCGTGTTCCACAAGACTCACACGGCGGTGATGGTTGCCACAGTCTTGAGACTTGCCGGGTTCCGGATCATCTTGTCCAGGGTGTTGACAATCTCTGCAAAGCGGGGCCGGCTGTTACGGTCCTTCTGCCAACAGTCCAGCATGAGCTGGTGTAGGGAAGCTGGACAGTCCATGGGCGGGGGTAGCCGGTAGTCCTGCTCAATGGCATTGATGACCTGCAGTGACGCACATGGGAACAGTTATGATGGGGTGAAGGGACACCGGCCAGTCATTCACAGATTAGCCCCTGAGGATGGAGCCTCCCTGACTCAGGAGCTCTAGGTCTGTGCTCATATACGTCTCACCATAATGGGTTGTATATGTCCTTGGCCTTTTCCCCTTAGACTGTGGGCTCCTCGAAAGTAGGGACCATGTCTTACTGTCCCTTCGTGTCCCCAGCACCTGCAGCAAGGCCTGACACACCCTGAATCTCTGTCAGTGTTTACTGAAGGGTGAGCTGGGAAATGGCTTGAGCTTCTCCTCTTTTTAAGAGGACATTGGGCCCCCTTCTGCCTTGTTGGCAGCTGGTGGCACTGGGGTCTATGGAGCAAAGGCATGCGGGAAACCTAGTGAGTTTGTTAGTTCTAAAGGATACCCACCAAAGCCTGTGGTGGCCTAGTCCTTACACTGCTAAGAGAGGGAAGGAATCAGCATTTAATAGAGAGCCTACTGCGTGTCAAGGCCCCTCTAGATGCTTCCCGTGCACTGTTTGCCTTCATCTTCATCCTGCAGCAACATGAACTGTGTTGTAGATAATTTGGCTACACAAACTGGTTAAGTACAATGACAATGGTCAAAATAACAAGGTGAGCTAAAATGAATCTATCCAATCAGGTTTTGGGAATTTGCGCATACTCCAGGGGAGAATTTTGTTAAGATTTCCGGATCTTTAAGTACTTTTGCCTGCTTTTCATATGTTGTAAGAGTTTTTTTTTTTTTTACTCTTTAATTCTTAATTTCCAATTCATTTAAATCAATTATGCCTCCTCTGTGCTTTTCGTCATCACGAAAATAATTGTAAACGACCCAGTGCTAAACATGTGAATTTATTGTGGTACCCTCCTACCACAATGGAAGGCCTGGAATACAATGAGCCCCTTGAAGTGATGTTGCAAAAATGTACCTATTGAAATGGAAATGTACTCACATTGTAATATTAGGTAAAAGAGCAAGCTTCATAACTGCAGGTATAGTATAATCTTGCTTTTGTATAAAACAAAAATCAAAACAAAACAAATAACAGTAATTATACCCATGCATACAATAGACCTTGGAAAGATATATACCATGGTGTTAATGATGGTTGCCTCTGGGCAGGCAGACACATGAGTGCACTTTATGTTTCTCTTTTTGCTTGTTTGTGTTTTTATTTTCTATAATAATTATACATTGATTTTATATTAAAATAAACAGCTCAAGCACCTTAAACAACAAAGGAAATCATTTGGAGTTCAGGGATTTTCAGGTGTTTTCGCTTCTACTTTAAAAAATGTCAGATTCATTTCAACTGATTATTCTTTTTTTTTTTTTTACCTTGTAGATCTGTCAGAAATTGAATCTTTTCAATCAGTCTATATTTTTACAAATTCTATGCCCATTATATAGGACATGAAGTGGGGCATGAAATAATATGACCTGAAGTCATTAGAGATAATCAAGGTGTATTATCCCTTGTATTCTAGGTGGTGGAAAAACAAACAAGCATACAAACCATACCAATATTAGAACTCTACACAAACCGGTGACTGGGAACTTTTGAATAATATGTTGCACCACTGACAAATTTTTACCTCTGCCAAACTCTTGTCAATCAAATTATCTGCTCTTCTCTTAAGAGGGCATTACAGCCCATCTTCCCCAAGAGGAAGCAGAAGCACACAGTGGAGTAACCTGCCTGAGGACCCACATCTAGGAAACTGCGATTGAGAAGACAGTGCAGGCGTGTCTGATTTTAAGTTTGGAATACCCTGAAGCCCACTTTCCCTAGGCCCCTGTGGGGCTGCATTGTAATCTCAGCCTGGACAACAGTCCTGGGAGCTGTTTGATGTCTTCGTGGCAGCAAACAGGGGTATGGAGCTAAACCAAGTCATCCATGAAGAAGAGTGGCCGGGCATCCTTCCCATCAACCTGGCTCATAAATTGGCACCCTTTTCCAGCTCCTTCTAGGCAGCCAGACTGAGGGGCCCCGTCACAGAGTCCCTACTCATTGTGGAAGCAAGTGGGATTATCCACTGAATGGCTCTTTTTGGGTTCCTTAAGGACAAGCTAGGTAGGACTGGCAGGAGGGGCTGGTGTCGGTACTCAACTTCTAATGGGGTTATGGGCCCCCAAAGTCTTCCAGTGCAGGGCAGCTCATGTTCCCCTAAACTGCTGGCATCTCCACTCAAATTATTTGATGCCAGAGCCCAAAACAGTACATACTCCTACTGGCAGGTTTCTCTCCCATCTGCCTATAACAGGAAGGAGCAATGGAGTCAGGGCCCTTCAGCAGGGGCACAGCTCCACGGTGTGACCCAGTGACCCACGCACTCCTGGGCAGAGTACCACGAGCCTGGGGGACGCGCGCATGCACTGATCTTCTGTCTGTGAGCTCTGGATCAAATGCAACTTAGCTACACTTCCCTTGTCTCCTCTGTATGCCACCTCATTGGACATGTTGAAGACTGTCCTGGCATTTGCTTTTGTATTTCCTCTGTTTGTTTGGTAGACTGTCTTTCTTTTTAAGAGGACATCAGAACCACTGATCCCTCCTCCCTGCAGGTCAGCCAGGAGGCAGACCCACATACGGTGCTGGTGACAGTATGGAACTGTAGCTAGGGGCAAAGACACTGGAGGCCCAGGTTCAAATCCAAGTTTCGCTTCTTATTTGCTCCAGAACCTTGGGAGAGTCACTTGACTTCTGGAAATTGCACAGATGGGGTTATTAAAAAGATTACATGACACAGTGAGGTGATGTTGAGCACCACACACATGAACAGTAGAAGGCATCTCTTCATCATATGGAGGCTGTCGTTCCTACCACATCTACTACAGTAGATGTCTCTGCAAAGGGGGTGTCTATTCTACTGCTGGTCACTTGGAGGCCTAGGAAGACAGTGTTTGAGAAGCACCAAGCACATAGTGGGGGGTTAATTAATGCCAGATTCCTATCTCTCAAAACCTTCCAGGATAGAGGATAGCCATGCTTGTGTTTACAAAATGGGACTTTATGCCATTTGCTATTTCTTCTAGATAATTTTGTTGTTATTACTTGGGTTGCTATTCTGGAAGCATTGAGGCCTCTTGCACACTGAAAAAAAAAAAAAAGCCTTTACCCTCCACTCCAAAGAAAAAATTACCTAAGTCATTAATTGATTTATCTGCTTAAGTCTTTCACTGAAGTGCTGTGCCTTTGGAGAACTTTACTCTTTTTAAGGATCTGGGTGTTTTCCAAATTTTCTGAGTATATAACTTACAATCAAATTAAAACATTATTATTTCAAAAAAAATAACTGTGGTCCTCTAGTGGGGTTTGGGGATCATTCTCCATCACGCCTGCCTTGCTAGCAGGTGTGGAAAACAGGGAGGAGACACGGAGAAGCACCTTCCATCTGGCCATCCGATGGCTCTAAACACCAGTGACAACCACGTTTGAATTGTATGGAAAGATACGGCCCAAGCTTGGGCCTTCTGAGCAGACTTGAAAATCGGAGTGAGTCCTGGGTCCCTTTCCTTGGTAACAGGATGGGATAAATGGCTGTTGAAAACACTGGCGATTAGAACGAGATCAGATGGTATCTCCAGAGAGAAGCGAGAGCCAGGTTGTGACCACGTGAGGCGACTGTCACCCAAGCAGAGCAGGCTGCTGGCTCACTTGGAATGGACTGCAGCAACTCTCTTGGCCTCTGAAGGCCAGCACAGGCCAGTGCCCCGGGTCCTAGGGACCAGGGCAGGGAGGGGGAGGGGCCGCCTTTGTTCCCTTGGACCCGGAGAAGGCTGGGGTTGGCTGGGGCACGGGGCAGGTGGTCTGACCCCAGTGCCTCGGCGGAAGTGACTGGAGCTTCTCTGGAGACGAGCGGGGCCCCGCCCCAGGCCCTCCAGTCCTCAGTGGGCTGCCGGTGGCCCCCAGACACATCTTTCCCAATAGTGAGTCTGGCAGCACCTGCCGCACCTTCCACAGGGGAGAGTGAAGTGGAGAAGCTCAGAGTCGTGGAGGAACCAGGGCAAGAGGGGGTTAAGTTGAGCTCTGATGTTTCAGTAAAACCGCAGCTCCTCTCCACAGACACTGCCACTCTCATTATCTCTGTCAATCAGATCCAAGCAGCAGAACTTCCCAGTTCTCTCTCTGGCTGACAAACTCTCTGTACATGTTCAAAGACCTTCCTGGGCTCCAGAAGCCCAATTACCAGCACTCCGACTTGCCTCTGCAATTCCCTTTCTTAAAGCTTTTCAATTGTCATCTGTAGAATCCGTTACTGCCACCACCTCCGTGGTTTCTGACGAGTGGGGTTGCAGCCTGGACCGCCCCAACCCCTCCTGGCTCTCTCCCAGGCCGGGCCTCTTCCCAGGGGGCGGAAGCCACCCCCACCTTCCACCGGGAGCAGAACTGCACTCGGGGCAATGCTTAGGGGCTTCGTGTGGGAGAAATAAGACAAAATTGGAATAAACTGCTGCTTTGCACATGTTATGCTTCCCTTTGAGACCCAGCTCAAGCGTCGAATATCTGGAAAGCCTTCCTTACCTCCCCCTCCCAAATGGTCCCACGGCCGGGTGTATGCGCCGCTGGACTGTGGACAGCCCGGAACAGAAGCGGCGAGCACAATGGCTAGCGGCGATGAGTGTTTGCTGAATGAATGATTTGGGAATTCTGGAAGTCTGGTATTGGAAATTCCATTTGTTTTCAGCCTAGGTGAATTCCTTCACTGAGATCTTGAATGTCAAATCTCTCCTGTCAGACAGTTTCATAATCCATTCTATGTGTGCTGAATTGTTCTTAATAGGATTAAAGTCTCAGGAAAGGGCCTCCATGTTTCTGGATCCCATTTATGACTCCTCTAGCTGACAGTCTGGATGCAACCCAGGGCGGGGGGTGGGAGGGGGGAGTTGATTTCGTGAACGCAGCCTCGGCATCCATTCTGACACTTTTGGCTTTGACATGCTCCAGGGGCGGAAGCACGGCGTGGGTAATCATAGATGATAGGGGACCCAGACGCCTCACATGACCATGGGACCTGGTTAATGGTGCAGACATTTCACCTGCCCTGGGCTGACGCCGCTGCACCCATGGGAGCAGGGTGCACTACCACAGCGGGAGCCCGGCCCCTCCCCACACTCCCATTGGGAAAGCTTTCCTGAGCTCCAGACCACCACCTTTCCCAATCTTCTGGGCACCTGCCTTGGCTCTAGACCTCGGGCTGGATAGAGGGCTCACTGAGGCCAGATTTCTCAAGTTAACCGTAGCTTAGAGCCACCCAAGCATGGAGGTGGGTATGGTGCAGCTGGTTGCCCAGTGGAGCAGATCTGGACTGGGGATGGCCCTGCCTCTTCTTGCCACTAGGTTGGGAAATGTAATAACTGCCCCCAAGGAGATGGGCAGAGTGAGCGGAACAGAGGAATGCGGGCTTTGCAATCTTCTCAGCTCCAGGGGGAGGGCATGTATTGAAAATACAAAAGTAGAATGGTCCAGGGGAACAGCCCAGGATCAAAGGCGGTGTGGAAATCCAGACACGACTTTCATTTGGGGCCTTAACAAAGCAAATCATCCTCAAAAGTCTCCCTCACCTTTTAGTGGTTATGAAGCAAAGGGTCCCATCTGGAACACCTCTGCTTAAAGCATCTCAGACAGCCCTTCTCCTTCCTTGCCCGCCTCTGTCCTTGGAGGGCAGCCTGGAGGGGTGCGGATCACCTCCACTCAGACAGGGTCCCACTCCTGTGGGCCATCTGAATGTGACCAGCTTTGGGAAGCCTGCTCAGCTCCTTCGCTGATAGGTGACAGAGGCCCCCAAAGAGTAGATTCTCAGGAAAGAAGGGCCCTTTACGATTCCTCTCTTTAAAGCTGAGAGGCGTGAGCTACATAGAAGCCGCAACGGGCTCAAGGCAGGATATCTGTCAGGGCAGACAACACCGCTCCCCACTCTGTCCTGCACAGCGGGACAACACACAGGCTGTGCGCTCTGAAGCAGGGCTGAATCTCCTGCTTTATTTGGGCCTGCTCTAGTTCATGGCCCACAGCCATTCAGCACCAGCCCCGGGGCTCCTGGGTTGGCCCAGGCACTTTTACGGGCTCTCAGGAGTATTGGGATTATCGCATTTCCATGCTGGACTCTTTGACTAGCTCAAACACTGGTGCCAAGGGGGTCCTTGTACCCCCTGCCCAGACACCTCAAGTTCAGGTTGTAAGGCCCTGAGCTGACACCAGACAGGAGGGGCTGGCCTGCCACTGCCTGTGGGAACACTTGGCTGGGGTTTGTGGTGACCAGGGACTGCTGACACTCACGTCTTGGTTGGACATATCCCAGTAGGGTCTCTCTCCAAATGACATGACTTCCCACATGACAATCCCGTAGCTCCAGACATCGCTGGCAGACGTGAACTTGCGGTAGGCAATGGCCTCTGGAGCTGTCCATCTCACGGGGATCTTCCCTCCCTGGAAGACAGAGAAGCTGGTCAGCCCGACTGTCAGGTTTCTAGTTGAAGGCAGGAGAAAATGAACTCGGCATGCACGTCCCTTCCACTCCTCCGCCCTCAATGCTCGTGAACGAGGGCAGCCAGGATAGCCCTTGCTGCACGGCAAGCCTCCATTACGCACCCGCGGACAGGGGCTCGAGGAGGATCTGTGTGGTCCGTGCTGCCCTCACACCATATGTGGGCACACCACCCGTGAGGCAACGCTGTACGAAGCTTCATTGGTCCCCAGGTCCCTGCACGCTGATCCTAATGTTGCTGTGGGAGGGGTGGGGGTGGGGCTTCATTGGTCCCCAGGTCCCTGCACGCTGATCC